AGACTTCACCCCCCAGATCACCTGAGACAAATCACTTCCCTGCCTCACCTTCACTTGCAGCAGCATCCAACTGCTGCTTTAAAAGCAACCTGAGATCTTATAAATGATAAAAAAAAAAAAATGCACAGCCTGAGCTTTCCAAAACAGCCACTGCTCGTCTGTGCCAAAGATAACACTCTCAGTGCAGGGCAACCACAGCCTACAAATCTTACCCCAGGCTTGAGGGGATAAAATGCAGCACAAGGTTTTGCTCTTGAACCTTGGGTTCAGCAATGGCAGAGCAAAGCCTTTACGATCCTCACGGGGAAAAATAATGTTGGTGGTCACAACAAAATGGCTTTTTCCACTCGCTGGAGACAAGGTGTGAATATTTGCTAGTCAAGGTCACATAAATCATAAGCAGAGTGGGAGGTTTCCTTCTCCATCCCTTGTGGCACCCCCTGCCAGAATGTGGATGCTCAGAGGATGGTCCACCATCAAAAAGCCTCTCAGGTTTTGTAGAGAAAGAGACTATTAAATGATCTGGTCCTATTTTGGCATCTTTGCACTGAAAGAAACAACCTGGAAGCTCAGTCTGTCTTCTGCTTCCTCCCATCTCCTCAATTTCTGTTAACAAAGCTGTGATTTTAAGCTTCGTCCCACACCTGCCTGAGTGGTGGAGAAAGAGCAGGGTGGATTACTGGAGAAGGAATGAACGTGGCACCCATGGGCACATGGAAATGGCCCATTTGAGAGAAGCACCCAGCTTCTGGGGCACTGAGAAACAGCACCTAACCCTTTCCAACCTAATGGCACTGCTGCTTTGTCCACTGTGGAATCCCACGGGTGGGAATCTCACCCCTTCCAGAGAAGCCTGACCCTGGGAATGGCCCCAGGAGGAGAACCTTAGACTCACTCTATGGAAAAACCACTCCAAGGACTGAGGTTTGAGGCACCGGGGAGGCCAGCGACACCCAACAACTGTGCCTCCAGCGTCCAGCATTTCTGGGGGCAGCTGCGGCAAAAAAAAAAAAATAAATAAAAAAAAAAAATCCCACGACTGCCGGCTGCTCCGCTGCCACAGCATCTGTTGTCCCCTACTGTCACCCACCACGGCCCCCCAGACCACGTGCGGCCAGAGTGACTCTGCAGGAAAACGACAACCGTAAAAAAACGACAACAAAACCGGGTCCCCGGCGAGCCCTCGCCCGCTACGCCCGGACCCAGCCCGGGGGCCGCCCATGGCAGCCGGGACCGTGCCGGCGGAGCCGCGGCCGCCGGGGATGCTCCGCGGGCACCTTTGTGCCGCTGTGCGGGCTCCGCCGCGGGCACGGCCGCGGCTCCTGCGGCGGGGACGCGACGGGCTCCCCGCGCCGCTGCCCACCGGGGGCTCGCCCGGGGGGCAGCCCTGCCCTTCTCCGGCCGAACGGAGCGGCCGGGAAGCTTCCAGAGGCCGGGAGCACACGCCAACCCAGCCCCGGAGCTCGCCGCGGGGAGCGCCCCGCTGTCACCGAGCGGGGGGGACCCCGCCGGGGCGAGGCCGCCGCGACACCGCCAAGCACCGAGAGCTGCTCAGAAACCCGCTCCGTCCGCGGCGCGACCCCCGCCTCCCCGCGGGGTCCGCGTCTTTCCAAGGCAGACAAAAGCCGGGATGCGCTCCCCCCCGCTGCCCCCCTTCGCTCCCCCCCGGGCCGGTGCTGTGTCACGTCCCCCCCCGGGCCGCGCTTACCGTGCGGGGCCGGGCGCGGTCAGTGCCCCGCTGAGGGGGTCATGGGCGCGGTGCGCGCCCGGGAGGACGCTCCGGCTCCGGCTCCGGCTCGGCAGAGGGACGGGCCGGGGCGGCGGGCAGTGACGCGCCGCGCTCCGCCCGCGGCCCGCGCCGGCCCTGACGGGAGATGTAGTCCGGGGCTGCGGCCTGCCCGCCGCGGGGATCCGACAGGGACACCCCGAGTGCCGCACCCCCGGGAATCTGACAGGAACCCCCCGGACCCCACAGCCTCGGGATCCGGCAGCGATCCCCCCGACACTCCCACCCCTGGGATCTGACAGGGACCTCCCGCCTCTGGCACCGCCGGGGCTCTGAGGGAGGCTCCCTCATGCTGCAAGGCGGGCTCTGAACGGGACCCCACAAACCGGGAAGGGACAGGGGTCCGGGAGTCCCGCACCGCGGGGATCTGACAGGGACTCCCCGGATTCCGACCGGGACCCCCCGCACCCCGCGGGGATCTGACAGGGACTCCCCCGATCCAGGGCTCCGGATTCCCACAGGGACCCCGCGGGGATCTGATGCGGATCTGCTGGTCCCGCAGCCCTCACAGAGACCCCCCGCACCCTCCCCTTCGGGGGCCTGGCAGGCACCTCCGGACCCAACAACCCCGGGATGTGACCAGGACCCCCGGGTCCTGCACGCCGGGGATCGGGCAGGGAATCCCAGATGCTCAAACCCTGGAACCCCTCAGCCAAACCCTCTGGGGCCGGTGAGAGACCAGCCGGGCTCGGAGCAGCCTTTGGGGTGGTGTTAACCCTCCCAACACAGCGCCAGGGGCAAACACCGACTGGCGTGTCTTCACCTGCATCCATCGGGATTCAGTTCAGAGCTGCAATCGTCTCCTCACGACAAAGCAGCATCCAGCTGGGCTTCAGGGAGGTGGGGGCTAAACTGGGCAGAAGAGAAGGAGACTGCAAACGTTTCACAGCATCACAGAATGCTTTGGGGGAAAAGGACCTTAAGATCATCCAGTCTCACCCCCTGCCATGGAGGGACACCTTCCACTGTCCCAGGCTGCTCCAAGCCCCATCCAGCCTGCCAGGGATCCAGGGGCAGCCACAGCTGCTCTGGGCACCCTGGGCCAGGGCCTGCCCACCCTCCCAGCCACCAATTCCTGCCCAAGATCCCAAAATGTGTGCCTGCTCTGCACTGGCTGCAGCCGCTCCCCGTCCTTGTGCTGCTGGAGCCAGGGCTGGGGCAGCTCTGCAGGTGGGGTCTCACCTGAGCCCAGGGCACAGGGGCAGGATCCCCCCTGCCCTGCTGCCCACGCTGGGATCAGCCCAGGGCAGGGGGCTCAGGCTGGGGCAGCTCCAGCTCTCCCCCACCGCACCCCCAGCTCCTTCTCCCAGGGCTGCTCTTGATCCATTCTCCAGCCGTTCTGTGTTTGTGCCTGGGTTTACTATAACTCACATGTAGTACCTTACACTTGGCCATATTGACTTTCATGAGGTTTGCATGGGCCCAGTTCTCAAGCTTGCCAAGGTCCCAGTGCATGGCAGATAAACCAAGTGTTTCTATATAAACACACAAAATTCTGAGACAAGAAATGTGAAAACCGGAATTTAAGCACCTTTTAAACCTCTCTCTAGCTCACTGGATCCCTTCAACTGTGGTGCTCAAAGCCACCCAGAAATGTTCCTACAAGCAATTTAAACCACTTTCTGCTTACCACACCAGGCTCTCAAAAGCACCCACCCAACAATCATCCCCCTTTTCTTGTGGTTTGGGTTGTATTCAAGAGGTTAACTCCATTTCTAACCATGGATTCTTTGTTGCTCCCTGTCTGGTTCAGCCCTCACACTCATCTGGATAAATGGATCACGTTAATGAACATCAACGCAAGGACTGCAGCCATAAATTCACCAGAATTGCTGGCCTCTGAAGAAACCTTAATTCTACTTTGACAGCAAAATCGGATTCCAAAGATCTCTCTCCCTGCTGTGCTTTATTTTGGGCCTTATCGTTTGCTGGGCAGGTTGTCATGACAACCTGATATTCACCGGAGGGTGGCTGTAATTGGGAGAGCACATTGTTAGTTTAGCTCCAGATTCCTTTTATTTTGTTGTATTTTAAGCAAAGGGGGACTGCCTAGATTTTCATATTTTTATCTATGATCATACTATGGTTTAATTATTAATCTCAGTGCCAATAGCATCTCTCCAGTGACGGCTGAGCTGCAGAGCTCACCAGGGCAGAAAACGGCTCTGCCCACATCCTTTTTTCCCAGCTCATCTCCTCATGCAGCCTCCCCACATCCCCTCCAGTCCTCAGGCCCCTAAACCAAGACCCCCCAGGATTTCATAGGGATGCTCCTGCTCCTGGAGTAGATCGGGGGAGAAAAAAGGTGTGGCCTATTCTTGTGTTAATGGTATTTTTTTGGAATTCCAGTGTCAGCTTTAAACCTGGAAACAATTCATCTTAGATAGTTATTTAGAGCAACTCGCTCTCTGTGGAGCCCATAATATTAACATGTGAACATGCTGGCATGTGTAAATCCAGCTCCTGGATGGGAACAGCAGGTCCTGGCTCCACATGCAGGGACCTCTCTGTGCACCCCACAGCAGGTCCTGGCCCCAAACACTGGAATCTCTCTGTGCACCCCACAGCAGGTCCTGTTCCCAAATATTGGGATCTCTCTGTGCATCCCACTCCTGCCCTAACGTGCTCAAGGCATGCTTGGCTTAGAGACATCACAAAATACCACAAAATGCCCCCAAGCTCTCCTGAATCCTCGCTGGAAGCTGAAAGGTGTCAGGACTGGGATCTCAGCATCAGGAACTCGGGTGGATGCTGGATCAGGACACACGACTCCCAGCCTGAGATTTTTAGGAAATGACCTATCCTGCAGAGCACAGTGTCTGTGGGAGTGTGAGAAGGAGCTGGGTTTGTTTTTCTAGGGGGTGTGGGGGGATGTGGACGGGTGAGAGCAGGGTGGCAGCAGGGTGGCAGCAGGATGGCAGGAGGGGACAGCAGGGTGGCACAGGGTGACAGCAGGGTGACTCAAGGGGAACCCACAGAGGGGTGGGTGCCAGACTCCGCAGCCGGTGCCGTGTCTGCCTCCTCACCACAGCCCTCCCACCCCCCACTCCCTGGCCACGCTGCTCATGGCGTTCATTATCCACGTGTCCCAGCAGGAAGAGAGGGCAGCTTTCCGGGGACTGAGGACTTTTCTCCAGGAGCTGGCACAGCTCCAGGTCCAAAGAGCAAAGTGGAGCTGCTGAGCCTGTCCCCGTGCGGGAGAAACCCTGCTCCCCTCAGCCGCTGTGAGCTGCACATCCCAACCTCCTCCTTTCATCCCTGCTTCTGGCTTAATCCCATCACAGCCTAGAAAGAAGTTGGGAAAGGAAGAGGATTTCTGCTTGAAAGGAGAAAGAAAGGAGAGGAGTTGTAAAAGCCGGGGATGGAGGAGGGAACAGAAACATCCTTCTTTCAAGGAAAAGATGCTGTGGCTGCTGTTCTGGGTACCATATGCCAGGTAATAACACGAGATGACTCAGTGTTTGGGAAATTAAATTGGCTCTTTATTAAAAGCATGCATTTAGGGAGGTAGTGAGGTGTCAAGGGAGTCCCTTCATTGCCTTAGCAGAGGGAATTCAGGCAGGCTGTCTGGCTCCTTATGCTGCCGAGCACGGAGTCCACAAGGTGCTGGGACATATATCCAGCCTCAGCATCCTCCCAGGGCTGCTCCCAGGGAAGCACTGAGCATCTGTGGGAAGACCTTAGGAGCTCTTCCTAAGCTCTCTCCTACCTAATTCAGTGGAAGCTGTTGGGTCCCTGCCAGTGGGAAGCGCTCCAGCCTCAAGACTTTTGTCCCAGGAAAATAGCAAGAGGCGGAAAGAGCAGCCGGGGACACGAAGATATTTGAGAGCACAAGCTGCAACTCAAAAAATGCTGTGCCAAACTCTAGTCTTGCCCTGGCAATAGCCTTTAAAATGCCTTAGCAATTGTAGGAATCTGCTGATTCCAAGGGGAAATACACAATATTTACAAAGTACCTTGCTCATAGCTGGGTTGTGCTGGTAGCTCAGTGCCACTTCTCTAGCTCGGAGCAAATCTTGGCCACAGAGAAAGTAGCTGAAGGCAAAATTCAATGTACTGTGTTCTGCTCAAATCATACATCCCCTCTGTGGAACTCTCATTTTTACATACAGACAGGTGCTGCATGAAAAATTAAGCTAAAGATGAGAATTTCTTTTTAATTCCCTGAGTCCTGCCAGCACAGGTGGGATGATGGAGGTGTCTGCCAGGACGGAGGCACGGTGATTACCTCAGTGGGTTTCTAAGAAGTGGCTGTGGCCATTAAGTGCTCAGATGCTCCCTCAGAGACTTCTGCAGGAAAATAAACACTTAAAAATAGTTGGCCAACAATCTTCCTGCCAGAATTAGACTGATTCTTATTATGGTTGGGCTGCAGTTGAATTGAAAGCAAATAGACATCCTTTAAAAACACAAATAATAGACCCACTGTAGGAGCAAAGGACTGCAGACAGACAAGGTCTTTATTCCCATCCTGACAGAGCCTGAGTGAGCAGCTCTGTCCTCCTTCCCAAGAGAGAGGTCTGTCTGTGCCTGGGGTCCAGGGATATTGGATATTGGAGTTCCAGCAGTCCCTGCTCCATTTGGGAGCCTCATGGTGTGAGGCAGCCTGGCAGAAAACCTAGAGAGAAACAGAGGTGATGGGCTGTGAATGTGGCCAGACAGGGTGTTCATGACAAAAGAGACAGCACTAATAGTACTTTCTCCTGTACAAAAAAAAACCCTAAATAAAAATCTTATATATATATATATATATTCTATTTTTATATTTCAGAGCAGGGTACCCACGGGTGAAGCAATGCCTGGCTGTGGTGGGAGGGGAAGCTGGTGAAGCTGGTGTTGAAATGCTGAATGTGGGGACAGGCTCCTTCCCCCACTTCCCAGTTATTTTTAGAAGGGCATTTTTATCCAGCACAGCCATGGGTGCCAAGGCTGTTTGCAAGTCAAGGCTAAATTCACTGGTATTTGGAGGAGGTCTGAAATGGGAATGGCCTAGGTTCCTGGAGATCAGGGTTTGTGAGCACTGATTTGCTCCAGAAAAGTTGAAATCCTGCTGTTTTCCATACTACAGGTGAGAAGCTGCAATTCAGAACAGCTGGATTTCCTCCTTGACCTCCCATGTATCTTAAAATAATAGCCTTAATTTCCCATATTTCACAAAATTCTGTTGAATAATGAGACTACCTGGACATAATTAATTACTTTCCTCCACTGATTTAATTCACAGCTACATCTTTGGATTAAAGAGGCCTTAGAAATACAAAGTATGATTATCCAGGTAAGAACAAATTACCAATTTAAAGGATCACCATGGTTCTAGCCCTGAGGATTTGCAAAGGTCAGGCTGCTGAGGAGACTGAGGGGAGAGCTGGCAGAGGCAGTGCAGGGGCTTGGGGTGGTGGTGAAGGATGTCCTTCCACACCAGGCAAGGTGGATCCTGTCAGACACCTCCACAGGGTGACAGAAAACATCTCTGGCAGGCACATTAATAACTCCAGTTTTGCCAGAGCTCGAATTAAACAGTGACAAGTATGTTTTGCAGAGGCATGGCTGGCTGGGAAATATTACAGTAACCCAGAAATCTCTCTCTTCCTCTGGCTGCAAATGGGATTTTTTTTTTCCATCATCCCTTACTTGGACATTAATTGCATCAAAGGATTGTGATGCTGCTTAGAGGGGTGCAATGGGAAGGAATTGCTAATAGTTGGGGTGGAAGAAGAAGCAGGGGAATTTCACTGGGTGAGGGATATATAAAATCCAGAACACTGGATGGAGGAAAACACCAAAACATTTTTCTAATGTGATTTTCCAGGAAGAAATTATTGCAATCTTTCAATAAAGGGGGCTTAGAAGAAAGGTGAGGGCAAACTTTTTAGTAAGGCTCATAGTGACAGGGTCAGGGGTGAAGGCTTTAAACTAAAAATGTGTGGGTTTAGATTATATATAAAGAAGTTTTTTTCACAATGAGGGTGGGGAGAACCTGGCACAGGTTTCCCAGAGCAGCTGTATGTGCCCCATACCTGGAGGTGTTCCAAGCCAGGTTGGACAGGGCTTGGAGCAACTGGGACAGTGGAAAGTGTCCCTGCCCATGGCAGGGGATGGCACCGGATGAGCTTTACAGGTCACTTCCCACTCAAACCACTCCATTATTCTGTGTGCCCCTGCCTTGGCCATTTCATTGCTCAGTATCATACTGTGTACAGGCAGTTTTATTGACTTTTAAGCAAACTGTAGTCTCAAAAGGCTGCCTGGAATGATGTAGTAGCAATAAAGCCAAGCTTTGGGCAGGGGCTCTGGTCCTGGGTACATTTTTCATCAGGAGGAAGGCTGAGGAGAGCAGGCTGGGCACCTCAGAGTGCTGGGGTGGCTGCAGCACCTGAGGGCTGGTACTGCCTGGGCTGCTGGTGATGCCAGGTGAAAGCCTTCCTTTCTCAGCCTCACTTTCCTGCTCTGAAGAGGGTACAGCTCTGCTTACCCTGCTGGTAAAGCACCTTGTGAGTCAGCTTTCACCAGGTGTAAACCAGCACTGTGTTTGTAGGGATAACAGCAGCCCCGGGTCAGCAAGGACTCCTTGAACACCTGCTCCTGGTCCTCTGGACATGTCCCAGAAGAGAACCTTCCCTGGGAAAATGAGAAGTGTCTCAGACTGTAACACTACAGCCTTGTGCCTCATCTGCTTCAGGGCTGTGGCAGCTCCCGTGCCTGGTCTTGGGTTAATCCCATCAAGGAGGCCTTCCCCACACTCCTGCTGATGGCAGCAGCCCAGGTTCCAGCTTCTCCTGCTCCTGGGAGCCCACATCCTCTGCAGCCACCAGAGGATGAGAGATAGCAGCCTGCACCCTCTGTTATCTCTCGTGCACCTTCTAATGATGCCTTCCCTGGCCCTGACTCACCTGCTGATGTGCAGACCCTCCCTTTCTGGCCACATCCTCTGTCCCCCTACCATCAGAGCCACCAAAAAGGAAGGAGGATTGGCAGCAAACAGCACTCCCATCAGCCATGGGGGAGCTTGGAAAATGTGCACATTTGTCAGCTAACCATAGTTTATATAATATGTGTAAAGGAGAAGCCGTGAGGGTTGCTCAGACTCTGCTGCTCCAAGGAGAAGGACTCACACTCCTCCTTTCACCAGAGAGATGTGATGCCTCAGAGCACCCGAGTCTCTCATCCTCTTCTCCCCACTGGGCATTTCCACACCGTGAAATGATAGTCCTTAACCACATAAACTTGTGGTTTCCACATGCCAGTAGCTCAGGCTGAGTAAATCAAGAGCCCAGGACTTATCCTTTTTCTGCCAATAAAATAAGTGAGCTTATCTTCACACGGGCTTTGCTTCTTATCACGTAGTTTTGGTGTAAAAATACACCGTGCTGCAGCCCTGCCCTCCCTTCCTCAGCAGCTGCTGAGGGCTGGCACCCCAGTTTTGACCCCATTGCCTTCCCAGTAAGGTGACTGGAGAGGAAAGGGAAATGTTTTTAGCCCCTGCTTGCTGAAAAAACTGTTAGAAAAAAAAGGGTTTGACAGGCTCTTGCTTTTGGTAGGAGAAAAAAAGAGATAACAATATCAAACCACAGGCACGTCAGGCACATGGCAGGTATTTTATCATGCTCTGGCCTCTGGGAATCAGAGCAGGGCAGGTTTATATTAACCATGCTGGGACAAAATAGAGACATGCTGATACCCTCGTATCTACACACAGGGTAGCAGGCACACATCAGATGGAAATTTGCAGCTGCCCAAACAACCAACAACCTGAAGGTACCAGCTGCCCTGCCCTACACAAGTTATCCCCACTAGCACAGACTTTGTTTGAAAAAAATCCTTCTATTTTTTTGGCCCTGAAATACTGAGTGTGTGACACCAGAAATGACAGAAATAATGAGAATTCTTTCCACCTCTCTCTGACTAGCACTTTTCACCCCCATGAGCTGGAGTGTAGAGCTCAGGGCACTGGGGCTGGGGGAGCCTGCCCTTGAAGGTTTCTGGAGATGGGACATCTTCCACCTCTCTGGGCAGCCTGTGCCAGGGCCTCACCATCCTCATTGTAAAACACATCTTTATATCTAACCTAAATCCATCCTCTTTTAATTAAAACTTTTACCCCTCATCCTGTTGCAACTGCTAGGCCCCAGTAAAATGTTTGTCCCCAGCACTGCACCCAGGGTTTGCTAATGGCTCTCCATTTTCAATTGTTTTCCATACAGAATCCTTCAATGCTATTAAAAAAAACAAAAAACAAAAACAAAAAACCAAACAAACAACAACAACAAAACAAACAAAAAACAACAACAAAAAACCAAACAAAAAACCCAAAAAAAAATCAAAAAAAACCCCCAAAACAAAAAAACCAGCAGGCTTTTTTTCCCCAGAGCTTTCTCTCTAAAATAATCTTGCTTTTCTAAACTGTCACTGTAGTACAACTGTGCTCTACCCCAGCTAGGGACCCCCAGGCAGGGCTGAGTCCAATCCACCCTGGCTTTCCTGTGCAGCAGGACCCAGCTGTTTTTCCCCAGGGAAAGGACACAGGGAGATGGTTTTCCTCCCTGCAGTGAGTGAGGAAATTTCCCTTGTTTCAGAAGTGACAGTAAAACCTGGGAAGATGCTGAGTTCATCTCTGCTTAGCTTGGCTCCTATGAATAATTATTAGCAGGTCTTTGGAGCTAGACCAAGAGTGAACAGGCACAGCCCTTCAGTCAGCAGATATTCCAGTGCCCCTTCTTCTGCTGCTGAAATAAAATGTCTAATTTAACTCAATTTCCAAATTATACTAATTAAAAAGTACTAGCAGCACAATTAAGTGCACTCCGCAGAGAGAAACTGCTTTTCATGAAAGGCCTGCTTTTGGATTCCAGATAATATAGTTTCCAGCAGATAATGTTTAATTTCTCTATAATAATCCCATATTCCCCAGCTGGGCTTCGTTCACAGGGGCTGAAGTGCAGACAGAGCAATAGCAGTTGCTCTTCATTCCATCACCCATCCAGGTCCTGGAGCTGAGAAAACCTATTATGTTTTCAAGGTGTGGTGGTGGTAAATTATTTTCTACAGTTTTAAAGAACAAAAAAGTCTGGTCACCTCTCCCACGTAATGTGTGTTCTTCTAAGAGGGATTTGATTTCAGAAGGAATTAACTTTGCTGCAAAAACACTGAATAAATCTTCTTCTATTTGTTCTCTCCAGGACACAGCAATTTAAATTGAACAAGAAATTTTCAAGAAATACAGGTATGCATGGCAGGACATGAAAGATGGACAAATTTAGTTGCAAGCATTTAAGAGCAAAGGAAATTAAGGGGTGTGGGACCTGGGGCTGTGGTGGATTCCTCATCAACTGCAGTCTTTAATCAAGTTGTTTCTCTTTTTTTTTTTTTTTTGGGTGCATTTAATAGAGGCTTCTAAAACGGTGTGCTGGGGCTTTAGTGAATTGGTGGGCATTGTCTGGGGATTACAGGGTGGGGCTCTGTGGGAGAGAAGACATCAGAGGACACCATCCCTCCTGGCCTTGGCTCAGCAAGCCTGTTCCTGCCCACCTTGGGAAAGATCCACCTGCAAACACCGCCTCGGAAATCCTGGATAAATTGTTTGGGTGTGCTCAGGTGCAAAGAGAAAAGCACCAAACCTTGTGGCATCCCTGGGCTGTGACTGCCCTGCCAGGGCACTGTTCCTCTGGAGGGACTGGGGAGAAAACACACATGAAAAAATAAATTAAAAAAAACCCCTAGAATCCTAGGTTAATTTTTTCCTTAAGAAAGGACCTTAAAGGTTCTCTAGTCCAACCCCCTGCCATGGCAGGACAGCTTTCACCAGCCCAGGTTGCTCCAAGCCCTGTCTAACCAAGCCTTGGACACTTCCAGGGATTCTCTCTGCACAGACAAGAGTTTTTGGTTTTAATAGACGTGGGTTTGTAGGAATGAATGTTGTTTCTTTTGCCAAGAAAGTTTGGACCATGTGATCCCTGGGGTCTCTGCAAACTGGAATTCTGTGCCCCCTCACAGTGCTGGCAAGCCCAGAGACCAGGTAACACATATGATGGCCACAAGCAGCTAAGCTACTTCCATAATATATAAGGAGGTTTCTGTTTACCATTTTTAGCATTAAATTGTAGTTTTTCTGTGTCTTTGCCTTTTGCTGCCTGATTCCTGTGTGGTCAAAGAGCATGGCAGAGGTGCTGGTACACCATATCCACATAATATGTGGGAATATACTAAGAAGAATGGAGGAAGGATCCACATAATATAAGGGAAAACATACAGGAAGGAATTGCTGGCTGTGAGGATGGGCAGACCCTGGCACAGGGTGCCCAGAGAAGCTGTGGCTGTCCCTGGATCCCTGGAAGTGTCCTGGCTGTATGGGGCTTGGGGCAACCTGGCACAGTGGAAGTTGTCCCTGCCCATGGACAGGGGTGGAATGAGATGAGCTTTAAGGTCCCTTCCAACCCAGACCATTCTGGGACTCTCTGATTCTCTGGTGTTACTCCCCATAAAAATGGGAATATTAAAATCCTCAGAGCAGCAGAAGCCCTTCCTGTCACTGGGAGAGCAGCACCTCCAGGAAGTCCCAGACTGAGGAACCCATCCCTGCTCCCACTGAACTCACAAACTCCGTGTCCAGCACTCGTCCTTCCCCACAGCCCCATCCTTCCCCACCCCTTCCCTGCTCTTAACACCACCACCTGTTTGAGACCAGGGAAGGGATCTGGCTGCCTCTCCTGCCCCGGCAGCACCACATCCCACACCCCATCCAAGGGCAGCTCCAGCTCTGAACAAAGCAGGCATCACCCTTGGAAACGCCCTGGGCTCCTGCTGCAGTTCACGGCAGGTGAAACGTGGCAGCAAAGTTTACATAAACCACAGTCAAACAGAGCTGCATTGCTGCTCTGAGCCATCACCTGTAGCAGCTGGTATTTTCTTGGCTTTCTATGGATTTGTGCCATAGTTTGTCACAGAGAGAATAAATCATAGGAATTCTTGTGATCTTGGTGAGAATAGGTTCTCAGTACAGTGACCCTGATACACCAGTGGCCTCCTCTTCCAGCCCTTTTCCCACATCTGAGCCCTTGCTGGCAGCAGCCAAGCCTCAGAGACACCTGAGTCAGGTCCTGAATAAGCACTCAGAGGAGCAGGTCTTGTTCCCCTCACTGGTTCCAGCCTTGGACATGTTTGCTCTCAGAGGTTATTCCCGTTCAACGCCTGGCCCGAGGACACCCAGCAGAAACACAGCTCCTGGTGTGCTCACCTGGGTGTTCAGGAAAATAGCCTGGAGCCACATTTCTCCACAAATGCTGCTGAAACACACAATTTATTAATTTTTCTTAGGCCATTGGGCCGTGTCTCTGCAAGGCCAGGTTGGATGTCCTGGAACAACCTGGTCTAGATAAAGGTGTCCCTGTCCTTGGCAGGGCGTGGAACAAGGTGAAATTTAGGGTCCATTCCAACCCAAACCATTCTGGATTCTCTGATTCTTAGAGACCCTCAGCATCTCCAGCCATGCAGTAACTATATTACTGCCATGTTCCAGAACCATATTCCTGCCTGGAGCAGGAATCTTGCGTTACAGATGTTGCTGTCAGTATTCCCATCCCATCTTCTGTCTGGCAGCAGTTACATGCAGAATGGACATCAGGATATTTTTCCTATTGATTTGAGAGAGCAGGGGGAGAAATCTCATTTTGTTAAAAAAACCCAAAACAAAACAACAACAAAAAACCAGCAACAACAAAAACAAAAACAAAAAAAACCCAAACCAAACTAAAACAACAACAACAACAAAAAAAACCAAAAAAAAAACCCCACAAAACTAGCAAACAAATACCAAAACATTTTTTTGTTCTGTCTTGTGTATAAACCTTTTCCTCCTACTCAGAGTTAAGTCTGGTGGAATGCCCCTTTATTGACTTGCTCTTTGGCTAAGCACAAACCCAAACATTGCTGTGCTACAGAATGGCATTTGCTGTTCTAATGTGAGTTCTGGGGATGCTGGTTTGTACCCAAAATGGGGCCAGCATCATAAATAGAAGGGGCTCTGCTTAGCTGCCCAAACAGTGATGTTTTATGTCATCAGAGACACCCTGAGAGCTCTGCCTGGGCACACGGATGACACAGCACCTCCAGGGCCCCCACTGGAAGGGGTATCTTAGAGAGATCTCTAAAATACCTCAGTTTCTAAACAAAAATCAAGCTGTGCAAGCCTAAACCAGATGTCTGGGCCCAGCAGAAACCAAGGAAACATCGGAAATCACACTCAATCCACACTAAGGTTCACTTTCCCTCTCCAGCCTCACCTATTGCAGCCCCCCTGCTTTTTCCCCACCTCTACCTCAAAGGAGGGAGGGAAGGTTTCTCTGCTCTAATCCCAACTCCAACCTGCACAACACAGCCCTGGGTGGGGCAGGAACCCTCCCTGTGCTCTGCTTGGAGCACAAGGCAAGGAGCAAACTTCTGCCTTGGCAGGAAGGAGCCTCTCCCTGCAGAGACCTGGGGGTGACTGGGGTGAACCTCCTCTGTTGTTTGCCTGGCAGGGATCTCCCTGCCCCTTTGACCTCACCAGGCTTTAGGATTTGAGATACTCCTAGTCAGCTGAATCCTTTCACATCCCAAAAGCCCGGACCCCCTGGCTGTGCTAACAAAAGCACTATTGCACTGCTTGTTCCAAATGCTTTACAGTCACAGCAAGCCCAAAGACAAGGTTTAAAGTTTACCCCGCCTTTGAGTTAGGTGGATAGAAAAACAGGAATGGGAAAAACAGGAAACAAACAAGGTTCAGTGTTCAGGTGCTTAAAACTGAGTAGGGACTAGAGTGGTAAAAAGCATATTTTATTTTAAGTGAAAAATCCTGTTTCTCCATGAGTCTGTCCATGAAAAGATGGGATGAAAAATGCCATTAAATGTAGAATTGTCATATCTGTGACATCACATTTGACGCACATTCTAGATAGAAGAGAAAAAAACCTGCAAGCAAACCAACGCCATCAGAAGTGGTTGCCATTAACTACAGCATTGAACTGAATGGTCTTGAGTGAGTATGTCCTTCAGGAATTCAGAACAGGCAGAGCTCAGGCTCAAACTACTCAGCCTCAAGGCTGGAGCCCCTCTGCTCTGGAGCCAGCCTGGCACAGCTGGGGCTGCTCCCCTGCACAAGAGAAGGCTGCAGGGACACCTGAGAGCCCCTGCCAGGGCCTGCAGGGGCTCCAGGAGAGCTGCCCAGGCACTGGGGACAAGGCCTGCAGGGACAGCACACAGGCCATGGCTGCACTGCCACAGGGCAGGCACACATTTTGGGATGTTGGGCAGGAATTGGTGGCTGGGAGGGTGGGCAGGCCCTGGCCCAGGGTGCCCAGAGCAGCTGTGGCTGCCCCTGGATCCCTGGCAGTGCCCAAGGGCCGGCTGGACGGGGCTTGGAGCAGCCTGGGACAGTGGAAGGTGTCCCTGCCCATGGCAGGGGGGGGAACTGGGTTATCTTTGAAGCTCTTTTCCAGCCCAAGCCATTCTGTGAGTTCCTGCTCTAGCAGTGGCTGAACAGCTCCAAGGGAGGATTTTACCTATCACCTATTAAACAACAGAGCTGGAAGCAAACAACTTGCTCCCCAGGGTCCCGTGGTGCTGTAAGCCCAGGGAGGGGCCAAACCAGATGATTGCTCCCTAAGAATTAGACTTTACTCTTAGCAAACCCCCTACAAATAGCCCACCCAGGACAACCTTCATCCTCCAGGCTCTCCTGGGCAAACCCAGTCCAGCTGTGGCAAGTGCTTTGTGCATGGGTTGGCAGAGGAGGAGAACTGCCTCCCTCATGAGTGGAGAGACAGGACAATAAAAATCTGTTAAATCAGTGTACTTGGAGTTTGCTGCCCTCTGAGCAGAGTCTGTGGCCCTTGCAGAGGCAGCTGGGCACCCCGTGGTCCTCGCAGGTCTCTGAGAGCACAGCACACCCCACACAGCCCATCCCTGTGCCCTGCACCTGCCATTCCCTCTGCAGCCCCTGCTACAGACGGGGTGCAGGGGGGCTTGTGCCTGGTGCTCTTCCAGCCTGGTGCTCCCCATCCACGCTCTCCTGCATCCCAGCAGCCTCCCCATCCCGATGCTCCACATCCTGGTGCTCTGTAATCCCCCTTATCCCAATGTTCCTGTAGCCCAGTGCACTCCAGGATACCTTCTCAGTCTTGGTGCTCCTTCATCCTGGTGCCCATCCCATCCCAGAAATCCCATCCCAGTACTCATTCCTGACCACATCCCAGTGTTT